GGGGGGGGGGGGGGGGGGGGGGGGGGGGGGGGCGGTACGCACCTCCTGCACCCTCCCCCTAGATAAGCCTTTCCCGATTGCGCTGAGTACCTTTTGAGCACTTTTTTGAGTTTGGAGCACTATTTTGCATTTTGAGCACCCTTAAGCACTTTTTCGCACTTTGGGCAACATTTGAGCAATATTTCACATTTCGAGCAAATTCGAGCAACATATGTCTTCTAAAACATTTTAAAGCAAAAACTGTGTGTCGCTCGCAACGAGAATCGTGTTCCAGGTCATAAATTTGAATAGCTAATGATGTTGACAAGAATAAAAGACCGTTGTCATGGAAAGGCACGTGGACTTATCCTAACTGAGGGTGAGAACAGAAGTTTCTGATTGGCTGATGTATCATGCGTGTGTCATCTCAAATTTCTAAATCATTTGATGTCTAGGCTTTGCACTGGTACTGCTGAATTTATTTACAATTCGTAACCGGCTTTACTTTTTTAAAAATATTGTTGTTCTATATTCTATCAACCTTTCGTAACAACCTGTCGAATAACACTACGCAAAATAGATTGTTAATTACTTCAGTAAAAATTGACATATTTGCGAAAAGCTTAGAGGTAACTGTTCACAACTTTTAGCACTTTTTGAGCACTATTTTGAGTTTTTAAGCACTTTTTGAGCACTTTTTAGCCATTTTTGACAGCACTTTTTAAGGATTTTACGAGCGCAATCGGGAAAGGCCTACCCTAGATCAGCCCCTGCCTAGTATGGTGCATTAGTACTTTTGGTTGTCTCCTTCTCCTCAACTTTTCTTCAAAGTAGCGATTAATTGAATTCAGTTTATTATCTGTTTGTAATTTAGTGGAGTGAATCTGTAATAAATAAATGAATAAATAAATAAATAAATAAATTCATGGTTTTGGGGGACGCTGTCGCAAAACTACAGACGTTTGAATGGATCTTTAACCAAGTTTAACAGGGGCGTAGCCAGCTTTTTGACTTGTTGTAGGCCAGTCCCTAAGGTCACCCGCTAATACACTAGACAGATCTGACCCTCAAGACTGTTAATTGTTTGAGTAGTTGAATCTGGAGTATGTATCTAAACTTCAAGGATTCAAGGTTTTCATCTCAGTACCACAATAAAAAAGCGCCTTCCTGTAACGATACTTGTTACAGTCAATCCGAGTAGCTAAAATCGTCTTTTCCCGGATGCTCCAAATTGTCAACAAAGTCTTCCGCAGTAAATGATACATCCAACATCGTTTACATCATGCTTATGGATATGCATAGGAGCAAGTCCACTCAAGCGATCTTCTTTCATCGTGGACCTTAGATAGGTTCAAGTTTTAAGTCTTCTCAGTGCGCTGAGAGAGCTCTCTGCGGTTGATGCAGTGATTTGTAGAGCTAAAAGTGCTGTACATGCCCTGGATATATATAAATTTGAGAACTGTCCTGGTGACAAGCTCAATCTGCATTTAACTGGGTTCCCAGGGCAAATTCAGAGCTTTTACTGTTTAAGTTTTTTGCATCCCGAACTCTTTAAAAGTACTTTTTTTAACATAAGATTTCAATCGAAAATTTCTGTTTCATTTTTGGCACTTTTCAATCTAGCTGGAGCCTCAACGAGGATTAAAACAAGGAAAAAAAATGGAGTAATTGCATGTCAAGACATTCCGTCGCTGTTAGTCTGTAAATCCAAGTTGTTATACCTAGGTTTAGGTTAGGTTTTGCGAAAGACTAACAATATTGTAATTTATTTGTAACGAATAGTTTAAGCACTAACACCCTCCTTTATATTTTTAAAGATTATCCGTAGGACTTACCTTTCGTTTGTTTTGTTGAAGAAACTTTTGATATTTCGCCTTTGAGATGCCATGACACTGAAAATGCTGGTTAGTTTTCTAACTGTCATTTAGAAGGTAACCGCTGTTTGTCAGCATTTTTTGACATCGCTAGTAAGTTTCTGAAAAGCGTGCTAACTTGGTTTTTAACACTAGGAGATGATTTAATCTTGCTGCTTCTTTGTTATTTACAGACTCGAAAATATTTCGTAAGAAATTTTAAGTGTCTTCGAAAATGCACAAGTCATCACGATGGTCAGTTGCTAAGGAAAATGCTCCCGTTTGTGCGGGCGCAAAATCGTCAGCGGTAATTACCATTGTCGAACTCTGCCTAAGAAGCAGTAAAAAACATGGCGGCTGATCTTCGAGAAATTGTTATCGATTTGAGAGGAAATACTGAAAATACGGAAAGGGAGAAAAAGTTTTGGAATGTAAACGAGGTGGAAATAAATCTACTTTCGAGCGGGAGTGGAATAAAGGCGATCAGGAGAGCGAGACGCCGACCGAATTACGGCATGGGAAACATGAATAGTGGACTGGAGGAAATATGTGGGAACAAGCTTGAGCTGACCGGCCCGTTAATTGACAGTTACCTTTTGGAGATCGGTAATCAAGTATCTGCGAAGTTAACTCGATCAAAGGCAACATCTCTGGCTAGCCCTGTTATCCTTTTTGTACCTTGGCCTGTATTTCGCCTCATTACAGTGCTGTTTAGAGGATACGGCGCTGAAGTGACCTTCGATAATCGAAAATCGAAGGTGATCTCTACGTTCAACCTTCTTGAAACGGCGGAAAAGATATTTTCTCCGGCTCGTTTTGAAGGACAAGATGTCCTAAGGAAGCGACATTTCAGTCGCCAACCTGACAATAACGGTACAATGAGATCTGTTTACAAAGGCAGATCGGCTGTGGCTATTTCCCAAACAACTCCTTTTTGTTTTGATTATAATCTTAAAAATCAAAAGGTCACTGTCACATTCTACATTCAGCGGTACACNTCGAAAATATTTCGTAAGAAATTTTAAGTGTCTTCGAAAATGCACAAGTCATCACGATGGTCAGTTGCTAAGGAAAATGCTCCCGTTTGTGCGGGCGCAAAATCGTCAGCGGTAATTACCATTGTCGAACTCTGCCTAAGAAGCAGTAAAAAACATGGCGGCTGATCTTCGAGAAATTGTTATCGATTTGAGAGGAAATACTGAAAATACGGAAAGGGAGAAAAAGTTTTGAAATGTAAACGAGGTGGAAATAAATCTACTTTCGAGCGGGAGTGGAATAAAGGCGATCAGGAGAGCGAGACGCCGACCGAATTACGGCATGGGAAACATGAATAGTGGACTGGAGGAAATATGTGGGAACAAGCTTGAGCTGACCGGCCCGTTAATTGACAGTTACCTTTTGGAGATCGGTAATCAAGTATCTGCGAAGTTAACTCGATCAAAGGCAACATCTCTGGCTAGCCCTGTTATCCTTTTTGTACCTTGGCCTGTATTTCGCCTCATTACAGTGCTGTTTAGAGGATACGGCGCTGAAGTGACCTTCGATAATCGAAAATCGAAGGTGATCTCTACGTTCAACCTTCTTGAAACGGCGGAAAAGATATTTTCTCCGGCTCGTTTTGAAGGACAAGATGTCCTAAGGAAGCGACATTTCAGTCGCCAACCTGACAATAACGGTACAATGAGATCTGTTTACAAAGGCAGATCGGCTGTGGCTATTTCCCAAACAACTCCTTTTTGTTTTGATTATAATCTTAAAAATCAAAAGGTCACTGTCACATTCTACATTCAGCGGTACACAGCACAGGACTTTGTGATTGACTCTAGCCTACAAAGTCTTATGAGTCAGTGAGTTTTATAAAATGCAAGGTGGGTAGTAAATAAGATTTTTTGGGATAGAATGAATCTTATTTCTCCTATTAAATCCTGGACACAATTCAGTATAATGTGACTGTGACCTTGCAAATTAAATGAATGAAAAACTAAGATTAGTAAGCTTAAGACAAAAATTTGAAGAACAATTTTCCTTTTTATTAGCACATGCAGGATTATTTCCTTTACAGTTGCATAATTAAGAAATGCTACTAAATCTGTAAAAAAAAAGAAGTATAAGTAGTAGTTTATCATCAGAATCATACAATCCAATAATATAACCAGCAGTAAGAGGCTCACTATATGGTACCTTTAGTTAATTACTTTATTTCAAAAAATGCAAAGGTCATTTCCACTGCTGTGTAAATCATGCTATGTGATTTCACTTTATTTTTATATATTGTGAGGAAAAGGAGGAGGTTGGGGTGCTACCATAAATCTCACCCATTGATATACAATACATAAGACGGTAATATTCAAAACATATTTTGGTTTGGTAAAACTAATTACAGAATTTTTTTTGAAAAGGCAGTTTAAGGATTCACTTACATGAAATGTAGATATGAAAAATATTTTTTCACATAAATAATTTTCTGTGCCATGTGTTCAGCAGTATAAGGATATAGTTTTTGTTAAATCAGATTTGTCAAGTGATGAAAGTTAAGAATATATAATTTACAGAATTAACACTGGTTTGAGCAGTAGATTTTCAACATATGCTCATTACTTACATTGAAATAAAATTAATTTTTTTTTATGAAATGATGTGTGGTCTGCAAAGTTTTTTAACTATAATTCCTTATTCAGGGCAGTTTCAAGCCTTTTAATCAATATATCTTTGCTTCCGGTCACAAGTAACCCCCTTTGCGCCAACTCTTTTTTTAAGTCCTTGACAGACAGTTGCTTAGGATCAATAATTGCCCCTCTGGATGCTTTAGCATCACTAACTATTTTAGGTAATGAAATAACTACATCTTTATGTTTAATACACCTGGGTAACCATGTCTCTTGTTTCGGATCAAAAACAGAACTTTGTGTTTTGCAAACTAAATCAAATTTTCGTCTAGAAAGATGATTATGATATTTCATAGCAACAGCTTGCTTCAAAGCATCTTCAGATTTATTAAAATTATCTGTAGCTCTACCAAAAACACCTTGTAAATATTTGCCCCTTTTGTACCCACTTATAAGTTTATCCATTAATTCAGAGGATGCATGAGATCTAAGGTAGTCCCAAGCACCATATAGTGAGCCTTCTTCCCCACCATGAATAAACTGCAGAATATTTTTAGTCTCTAGTTTACGTCTAAATCTGGTAGTAGAGGTTCTGTTATTTATCATTCCAAAAGTAGTCTCAACGTTCTGCCTTCTTGTTCTTGCATATCCTCTCTGTTCCAATAAAACCTTTAGCTTTTCATATTTTCTGTTAATCTCATCCAGAGCCTTTTGCTTCTCTTCCATCTCTTTGGTCAACTGTTCTTGTTGACCTTTTGTTTCCTCCAATTTTTGTGCTGTTAATGTAAATCAAAAATACATCATTATTTTTTTGAAATGTTTCACATTTCTGCTTCCCCCGGCCGCCAATCTTTTTTTAATGTAAACACCATTAATTTAAATCGATTCTTTTTCAAATTGCTAAATAAAAATACTGTGCCAAACGCACAGTTTAATATATATGACATAATTGCAACCCTGTCAAATGATAGAGAGTCTTACCTATTTCCTCGGATGAAGTTTCCATACGAGATAGTTTCTCCGTCGCTTCTCTTTCTTTGTCATTAAGATCCTCTTCTTTTTCTTTAAGATCCTCTTCTTT